CAGGGGATGCTTCCAGACTGGAAGAAATAAATGTAAATAATCGATTCTTTATTTTTTTTTCTTCGAAACATTTTTCGTTCGTTCTTCTTGTCAAATACTAATAAAATCAATATTATTTTCGCCTTACGAAATATGATATTTTATAGACCAATAACATCCTATTTAAAAAAACAAAAAAATTAAAATTCAAAATAACATAGAATTCACTCAAATAAAAATCAAAACAATCGAGTTATTCTTTTTCTTTTCTTTTAAATACACTTGATACTTGGCACTTATAGACTTCTCATATCTGTTTACATATATGTATGTGTTTCTTTTAGTCACGAAATCAAATAAAATTTTTTCATTCCTGTTGTTAATAATTAAAATAATCATAATACATTCGATTCATCGATTGATAATTTACTTTATGTAACAAATACTTCAACATAATATGCAATATCTTCATCACATTTACATCGGCTTGTACAACTTCATTCATCACTTGATAATACGTATTAGTGGTTTTCTATATGAACAATCACGAAATTTATTAATTATATGTTCACGTTCATTAATCGGTCGTTGTGTTTTATATGATGTTCATGATATAAGGAGAATTTATATTTTGATTTAACAATTGAAACAAATTATCTTGGTTGTTATACATTTTTATCATCAACAGATAATTGTTATGATAGAAATGGAAATATAATTAAATTAAAAAAAAGATATATTTCATTTTAATATTACAATCAAGTGATCATACATTATTAACATTTTTAAATGAAAAATTCTTAAATATCGAATATATTTATGGTTTTGATTATCAACAATATACATATTATATACTTAAATTATCTCGTATAGCTCGATTATGTCAAGCATCAATTACAATAGGTATGACTTATAAAGAAATTCCATTAATTAATTGTCAACAAAATTCATCAATTGTTACATGAACTTGTCATTCTTTGGAAAATTTATACGTGCATTTAAAGCATCGAAAATTTAATGTCAAATGGGTACTGGTTATTGTCTTGCACATATTGTTGATTGTGATGAAGAAAGACCGATGTATGAAAAAGTATCTTTCTCTTTAAAAATCAATCTCGGACAAAGTACATTCAAAACACATGAAATTTGCATATGTTAAGACTGCATTGAAGAATCTATGCAAAAAGTTTTAGTTTGTTGGAAGACATTGAACATCTTGTAATTCTTCATCTTTACGCAGAGATAAAAAGGTTAACTTTCTTTCAGAATTTTCGAATACGCAATCAGAAAAACAAACATATGTTTGTTTTATAAGACAATCGAGCAAATGCATATGTGGATGGAATTGTAGGAGGAAAATGACATCAAATAATGAAAATCAATATAGCGATTAGATTTATTTTTACAAAAGATAATACTGTACTTATTGGTACGGATCAATGACATATGCTAAAGGTATTTATAAAATAGTAATATTTATAGAAAAATATCGATCGAGAAATTTATCTGATGATTGAATTTTTAGTTCATTCGTCATAATCAAACTATACTTTATTTTCTTCGTAAAACAATTTATCATAATGAACTATTTAATAGTCAATATATTGTCAATAATGAACATGAATCACTTATATTTGCTGTTGGTACTGAGGTATTTTATTCTATTGCCTTTTTGTAGAAACTTGATATTACTGAAAAGAAAATTGAATATCTCCATTACGGCTCGAGTAAACAAGCTGTATTTTGTCAAAGATAGAGGCATTCATAGTGTGAAACCTTGTTACATATATTTTTTTTCTTTTCTAATCTGTGAAAAAGTAAAATTTTATTGTTGAGATCACTAATTAGGGTGGGTGGAGTGTGGATGTGGGTGTGTGGGTGGCTGTGAACGAGAACACTCAAACCCATCCACACCCACACTCACACCCATCCCACACCCACACCCACACCCCACATCACCCACACATCCACACC